TAGTCTGGAAAACCTGGTAGGAATTTAACAGCCAGTTCCTCCTCTCCAAAGGTATTCACATTGTGGAACCTCTCAGCCCCTCTGGCTGAGAGTCCTGGGCGCCAAAGTTGCCATACTACACCGTGGCATTGCCATGCACTGCCACAATGCATTCAAAAGTAAGCCCATTCTAAATCACTGGATTTCATTAGCTTGGATGAACACTGCTTGTTAATCAATAGCCACGCTTGACATTAAGAATAGCATTTTGAAGTAACTGCAATACAATCCTTGAACTTACTACTAAGCATAATGAGTTTATTCTCCTGATGAGCTGCAGGAGAAATGCTCCTTTTACTCACTGTAAAAATTACATTTTCTTAGATCAGCTGACATTACATACAGATAACACACTTTAATAGATTAATATCTTTAAACCTTGTGTATAAAACCTCACAACTTCCTAAGTAAATTCTGTAGGATAGTGAAGATAGACACACGACGACTGTTAACATTTTATAAGTAGGATAGAAGAATATCTTAGAAATGTTCCACCTTTTTTTTGTATGATTATTTTCTACACGCTGTACATAGTAAAGTATACAATTTGTGTCTCCTCCATTTCTAAATGACACTGTGTACTAGTTTATAAGCATCAAATGTATATATAAAGTCTTTTATTAAAGAAAAAAACCCCAAAAAATGTCCATGCTCATTGTAATCCAAACGTCAATCACGTCATCCAGCAACGTAGATCCATGTCAATCATGATGAACGATGGCCGCTGACTCACTGAAATAAAAAATACTCGACACCTGCCAAAACGTCCAATCCCAACGAGCATCAGCCGCAAAATGACAGCTCTGACCCGAATGCCAACAAAGGGGCGGAGCGGGTCCTGACATCACAGCACTTGTCCCATCCCTTTGTTTACATTTAGAAGCAGAACTGTCATAATAACAACTCTGCTCCCGTTTGTCAACAAAGGGAGGAACAAGTCCCATGACGTCATGGCTCGCTACACCCCTTTGTTGAGCGACATCTTCTATTGTGATTGACATGGATCTACATCACTGGAAGACGTGATTGACATTTGGATTACATCAATGGACTTGTCAAAATTTGTTTGTTTTTTTCAAATAGAGGATTTTTGGTGTGATGTGTTTGTTTACAATTTTACTGTACTTGGTGAATGAGTAGGGGTAACAACTACCACTTACTCATTCACAAGGGGAGGAGCGGCATTTGAGTCCCCCTTTATTAAATGGGTGGTTTCTACCCATACTCTGTAATGATGTTTTAGAACATTACTTATTTTACCAGCACTATTAAAATATGAGCATAAAAGACAGGCCAACAAATCCATGTCAGTGGGCAAGCTTTGCACTGTGTTTATGCTTTATAAACCTTGTCCAGTTCTTCATGTTGTGATGTTGATAATGGGCAAAGTAAAACATACAGAGCATTTGACTTGACTTTCTCTACTTTTCATATGTGTCAAATAATGACTTGATCCCAGTATGGAGATATGATATTGATCTGTAGAGATACTAATGAGGACATAAGTTCATGTTGTTGCTTAATCCTTCTTAAAGGAGAACTATGGGGTCAGTGTTTTTCCCCATAGTTCTCCTTGGGGTAACGGGAGGACACAAACTAGCGTCCTCCCGTTACCCTAAGCTCAGTATACCGCGAGCTGCAGCTCGCGGTAGGCAACACAAGGGCATATGTTTGATCTGGGATGGCTAATTTTTGTTGTTTGCAAGGCCATTTCATTTATTTACCTTATGTATGTTATGGTGAAACATCTACCTGTATCTTCCTCCAGGCACCCATAGAAAGTAATGAGCTTCCTGCCATTTCCATAAAATTCTCGCCATCTTTTCACATTTTCTGAGGAATCTAACTCTGCTAGACCAACTCTGCTAGACCAACAGTTACCAGGGTCCCATGACCTCAAGGGTATCTTCTCAGTTGCAACTTCTAAATTACTTTGAGGGTTTGGCTTCATAATTTCCAATGACAAAATCCCATGTATGTATTCCTGTTGAAGCATATGTCCCAGCGCGTAATAACCACGTATTGTTATATTATTAGGAACACAGAAAGAAAGGCAGCCAACCATTTTAGCCAGACTGCATTATTATATTACCTCACTGGGATGTGTTACTCAGTTAAATCAAAGGTCTGTCCCTAAGACATCTTACAACAACAGGAAATAAAAAAGGTATAAAGAGAGAAAAAAACAAAACAGTCTCTACAGTCAAACATCATTATTTCTCAGGGTTGGCTTACTGCTGAAAAGCAGAACGCAATGGGTGATTATTTAACATGGCAGTGCATAACAATGATGATGTGCAAAGTGCGGTAACCCATAGCACCCAGAAATCAAACTACTTCTGTGACTCATCTGATTCCACTAAACTGAGGTCTGATCATATGCCAAATATCATTATATGCCTGATTATATGCATGAATCTCCTTTCCACTGTTTATTTAATAAGCTTGAAAGACTGGCAGTACTGGGGCAAGGTCATCTAGTGCACAGGGTGAGGATGCCAAACGATGACCCCCCCCCCAGTTTTACGCATGAATCAGTGTCTTTTCAAAACAATAACATAGGATTAAGTCAAAGCAGAACTCATTCACAGTTGCCCCCTTCCTGCTCCCCTCTCCCCCCTCCTCGTCCCAGCCCTGCATGTATACATACAACAGTGGTCAACATTAGTAGAATTATAGAGGATCTCAAGTGCAGTCCCCAACACTATAGCAGCAGTGCACGCTCAGAAGCTGGAAAACTGTGTGTGAGGACCGACTGGTGCCCAAGCATCAACTTCAAGTAACTTCTAAACCTATGGCACAAGCTAAAGTGTCAGGCTCAAATAAAATAAAATAAAGCTGCATAAAGGGCTAAATGCAAGGATTTAAAAATAAGCCTGCATTGTTATACTAATGCAATGACCATTAATTCAGATTCTAACATAGGCACAATTGTGATTGGTTTCCTTTGCTGTACACTAACCATCTACCTGTACATCCAACATGTCCAGTGCAGCAACGACAGTGCAAGGCATGCCCACTGACCTGGATTCAATGGCCTGTCTATCATGCTCATATTTTAATAGCACTGGTAAAATAAATAATGCACTGAAACAGCACTACAGAGTGTGGGTAAAAAACACCACGCTGGATAACAGGTTGTAAAATCAGAATTAAACTAAACTCACATTACCTCACAATGTCATTAAAAGGAGTTGTAAAGTCCCAGCATATGCTATCCTGTTATAACATCAGCATTGTAATAGGAATACATTCTAGAGATGTTTTTCGTAATGCAATCAAAGCTTACTAGAAAAAAATCCCTATTATGTAGTGAGTGCTGCCTTCTGTCTGCCCATCACTTTCAATAATTAACTGGATTCCCAGTGTGCTTGATGTGATACAATCTCAATTTCTCAAGACTATATAGCCCATCATGCATTGCTTCCAGCAAGCAATGATAATGTTGCATTGCGGGAAGTTCAGAAGGCAGGCTTAGCTGGAGTTGTAACACAGGAAAGTGCATATTCACAGGGCTGAGTGAAATTGTGTCATTGCACTGAGTAAATACATCCTATGGGCATCTTCAAAAAGTAAGTTTACAAACCTCTAGATTGATGTAGTTATTAGGAGTGGAATAGAACTTGATGATACAGGGTAAAACAGCAAACACCTTTTGGGAGTTAGGAGCAATTCCCCTTCATCAGGACTTCACAAGACAGTAATGGAGGAAGAATGGATATGGGGGAGCTGTTAATGTGAAATAATGCTATCTTCAGCTACAATGTCTACTAAGACAAGGATGGAGGAAGGTTGATTACAGGGAGTTGGTAATATAGAGAGTGCTATATTCATCTACAATGTGCTGCTAAGACAAGGATAGAGGGAGTATGGTGGAGAGTTGGTAATATAGAGAGTGCTATCTTCATCTACAATGGGCTGCTAAGACAAGGATAGAGGGAGTATGGTTATGGGCAGTTGGTAATATGGAGAGTGCTATCTTCATCTACAATGTGCCGCTAAGCCAAGGATGGTGGAAGAATGGTTATGAGGAGTTGATAATAGGGAGAGTGCTATCTTCATCTACAATGTGCCGCTAAGACAAGGATGAAGGGAGAATGAGTATGGGGAGTTGGTAATAGGGAGAGTGCTATCTTCATCTAGAATGTGCTGCTAAGACAAGGATGCAGGAAGGATGAAGGTACAAGAACATTTTCTAGAACCATGTGCTGGTGAGCAGAGTTTGGGGTTGGATGTCTTATTTTTAGGGACATTGCCATGTTGTGGATGCGAGGGAATGATATACCTGGAACAGTATTCTACTGATTCAGGGATGCAGAGAGTGACAGCTCCAGGTACACTGTGCTGCTTAGCCAGGGGAGGAACAAGGCTATGCCAGGGGCACAGGGGATGAAGATAACATAGCATTTTGCAGGGCACAGCAGTGTCACAGATGATGAGCCCAGAGATTTCCCAGGTACAGTCTTCTACTGAGCCAAGGATGGGGACACGGAGATATTTATATAGGGGCAATGTGGAGCTGGACTGGAAAAAAAAAGGAACACAAACATCGTCAGTGTATGTTTGTTATTTTTTCTTTCTTTAACATTTTTACATGTTCTCACTACTAGTTCTTGTAGAAGAATGTGTTGTGTATTGTTAGTGCGCAATCAATAAATAAATAAAAGATTACGCGGCGTTATAAAGGGGTGCAGAGTTTATTGCTGAGATGGGGAATGGGTCCATTTTGCTCCGGCAGGTAGCTGTAACATGCTGCTATTAACCATCAGCCAGTGTGAAGTTGCCCACTTAGAAGCAGTTGTGAAATATCGGCTACAGAAACAAGTGCCAAGGGAGCTCATTACAAATTAGGGCCGGTCACCCGATTAACCCCGATTAATAGTGCCCAGCAGCCTGCCATGTGTGGCGAGCTGCTCTAGCAGGGTAGCTGTTAATGAGGCATCTCAAGCCAAGCTTTTGGCTACCGCAGAAGTGGGTCAGTGCGGTTGCCATGGAGACGCTTTAGCAACCAATCTTGCAACCGCTCCCTCAGTATCTCTCCAGAAACCCTTCAAGATTAAAAGCGTCTTGTGCTTCCGTCTCTTCCTCTCCCCATCTCTTTGTCTCTCCCTCACTTGCTGCATCTGCCCTGGTGGTGCCAGTGACCTGCCCAGCTCCATGCTGCACCCCTCCTTCCATGCCCACAGCAGCCTTACATCTGGTCGCTGGGGAAAGGGAGGGAAGCAGGCAAAGTTGGGGGATCTCTTTTCCTTTTTCTTCAGTCAGTTCTTCTCCACGCCTCCCTGGCACCAGAACTCTGCTTGCCAGCTGGTAAGAAGTGTGCCTGGGAAATGCCATGGCTGTATGCTTTACTGATCCATGCCTCTCATCTCTGCTGTGCTACACTTCCATCGATCTGCCTGCCTGTCTGACTCCTGTTCATCCATCTATCTGTCTCCTACCAGTCCATCTATCCATGTATCTATATTCTATCTATCTATCTATCTATCTATCTATCTATCTATCTATCTATCTATCTATCCATCTATCTATCTATCTATCTATCTATCTGTATCACTCTATTTATCTGCATATATCTATCTATTTATCAGTCAATCACCCATTAGTCTATCATCTATCTATCTATCTATCTATCTATCTATCTATCTATCTATCTATCTATCTATCTATCATTATCACTCTATTATCTGCATATATCTATCTATTTATCAGTCAATCACCTATCTATCTATCTATCTATCTATCTATCTATCTATCTATCTATCTATCTGTCTATCCATCCGTCTATCCATCCGTCTATCCATCCATCCCTCTTTCTATCTATCTATCTATCTATCTATCTATCTATCTATCTATCTATCTATCTATCTATCTATCTATCTATCTATCAATTACATATCACTCTATCTATCTGCTTTCCATCCATCCTTCTATTTTTTTTCTCTCTCTCTCTCTCTCTCTCTCTCTCTCTCTCTCTTTGTGTATTTGCACTCATAATATGTTTATCGTGTAGAAGCTGACAATGTATATTCATGTATATATGATGTAAAGTTTTTGGAAGGAAGATACATTGTAAACTCCATCCTCTATAATCCTATATCACCAAAAGATCTCATCATGAATGTATTGTTATGTTATAGTTGAACGGAGTTGTTCTTTGGTGACTGTCGCCAGTCTTGAGTGTTTACCAATAGGATATTCTCACAGTTTGGCTTGCGATAGATATATGTTGCTATGCAGGTTTCCTTTCCGCATGTGATCTGTTTGTATTCTGGTTTTATTAAACTGCAGATTATTTATTTATTTTTAGCTCAGAGGTTCAAGTCAAATGAAAGATGTCTCCCTGTATCTGTGCTAACTACCTAGGGCCACTTTGAAGGCAGATCAAAAATCTAATAATGAATGGCCCCTAACCTCCATCCCCCTCCTAATCCCCCACATCTTGTAAGATGCCTGTATAATTGGTCTCACAATAGCTTCCTATCAATAGAAATTGACTTGCTCAATTTTATTGATCCCTTGCACATTGCTGGAGAAATTAATCATACCTCCTGCTCCTCCATTGTTCTTAAGCCATTGTCTTTTTTTTGTTTTTCTAAATCATTTTTTATAAACTGTACAGTTTACATCATGCGTTATTGCTTTATTATGCCACAAAATATAACAAAAGCGGTCATCTTTTTCATGCGGCCCCCTTAGAGGTTCAGTTCAGTATAAAAGTGCATTGCAGCTTGTGTGCTTCTAGGTGATCTGTGATACTGTTAAGGAGCTGCAGAACAACACGCATAATATTAGCAAAATAAGGACACTTGTGAAACAACCTGTTCTGGATCATGATCACACCTCCATCTATAGACAGGTAGGATCAGGAAGTACATACGCTGTGCATACTGAATACTGATATGTAAACTGCAGTAATGCCTGGATCACATGACATGGCACATAGAGAAGACAGGAGGTGCCAGACTGTCACATCCAGCATTAGCTTTACAACAACAACAAAATCCTGTTACACCAAGCTGCCTCTTTATAGAGAAATTCATCTTTATTGTAATGTCAAATATTAGTGCTTATTGGTCAGATTGTGCTTCTGTGGCCAGCCTCCTTCTCTCTTGGTGTGACACCATGACTGATTGCGGAATACCTCTCTTACCATTACTTCTTGTGTAGATAATATGACTGTCAGAATTATCATTTCAATGTGCAAGCCTGGCAGATGTACAGTTTGCATGTAAATATTTAAATAGCACTGACAAAATGATAAACCGTTGCAGCTTTTGTTTTGGACCTGTGAGATTTTTAATCTGTTTTGGACCTGTGTAAAATATAACGCAACAAACCTATCAGCAACATGGGGTAATAAGATGTATGTAAAAAAGTATCTATGGTCATTTATAAAAAACTAGTGCTATAAGGGATTGTGTACTTTTTTTTATCACAACCATTCACAATCACTCTTCCATTGTTTAAGTACAAAAGGAGAGATAAAGGCAGCCTTTCTCAACCAGGGTGCTTTGGCACACTGGTGTGCCTCCTAGCCTCCTCAGGGGTGCCTCAAAAGTTTGTGGTAGTCGGACGGTGATGTGAAGGGGGAATGAATAGTGAGGTGAAGGGGGCTCCTGATGTAAAGGGGGAACTCTGATGTGAAAGGGGAGAGTGCGTGTGTTCTTGGTTTTGATTGTGAATACTTTTAAAGGATGCTGTGTGACTGAAAAAAGGACAAAGGTATAGCCCATTCAGATGTGTAAACTTTGAAGGGAATTTATCAAAGCTGGAGCAGACAAAATGGAGCAGCTGTGCATGGCAACCAATCAGCTTCTCTCTTTCATTTTCAAACCTTAACTGAACAAACTGCAGAGAGAAGCAGATTGGTTGGCATGCACAACTGCTCAAGTTTTTGCCTGCTCCAGTTTTGATAAATTCCCCCTTTGAGTCTTATTTATGTAAAGTGTGTCAACAGCAAAATGCATACTCATAGCAACCAGTAATAATCAATGTCTTATTTTCAGTTCTGCACTGCAGGCACAACGGATGGAAACTGTTTGGTTGCTAGGAGCAATGAGAAAATGAGCGCTTATTGGCACAGTTTTCATTAATAAGACGCACAGTTTAAACTTCTTTTTATCCTGTTCTTCCTGCCTAGTTGGCTCAAATCCATATACCAGACCTAAATATATGCCTGAAAAATGTAGGGAAGCAGGTCCCATGGTTCTGAATACTACCTTCTGTAATTCCCGGAGAAGGTTTTTAGCACAGTCAAGGGACAATAGGCTAAAGTCCTGGCATGATGTACAATGATAGCCTCATGATTGTGGATCCAGTGAATTATTTAAATAAACTGCTTGGTCTTTCTGACAGTTGCAGTGTTTCCAGTATCTTAGTAGCAGTTGACACGTTGATTTGAATTGTTGCCTTGAATTGTCTTTTAACTAACGACCTGCTACTGGCAACTTGAGTATTCATTTGCCTACATTGCCAAGAGGTAGAAAATATGTTATCATTGTACATTGACAGGGCTACTTAATTACAACTTTGTTCACTGGGGGTTAAAAAGGGACACTTCTTGAGTGCCCACTGACTTTGAATTGTATATTGAGACCAGGGGGAGATTGGGAATCTGTGTCCTAGGAGACATTTAGAACCAGTAGTCTGTTCATAGCAGATATCTGTGGGCTAAAGAAAGTATACTATGCAAAGTATGCTATGGTTGTCACATAGGAGGGCATGGTGAAAGGTGGGTGTTCTTAAAGACATAGAGGGGAATTTATCAAAACTGGAGACGACAAAATCAGAAGCAGCTGTGCTTGACAACCAATCAGCTGTTTTCTTTCATTTTCAAATCTTAACTGAACGAACTAAAGAGAGAAGCTGATTGGTTGCCATGGGCAACTGCTCCAGATTCTTTCTGCTCCAGTTTTAATAAATTCCCCCCATAGTTTATTTTGACACACCATTTCACATCTTTCAGCATCAGCTTTCTTTGCAGCCCTTGCCCTTCAATCACATGCCATCTCAGAGCCGCACAGGAAGGTGGTTCTGGAAGACTTGCCTTTTCCAGATGCTGTGATAACAGGTACAACTGGAGAGCAGGTAGCTGATTGACGGCAGAAACCACTTTATTCTATGCCTGAATGGTGAAGTGTCTCAAATCAGGGCCACCAGTCCAACATATCTTAAGCTGGGCATGCACAGTTAAATTTTTTTGCTCAGCCTGTAGATTGAACAAAAAAAATATAAGACATTCCTCCATCCATGCTAAACAGCACGGGTGGACAAATCTCCCGCTGTGTGCTTTGTATTCTGGCAGGGGTGCCACTGCCAGAATAACCAAACAGTGAGATGGCAGCTCCCTGGCCACCATCACTGTTAGTCCGAAGATTTTCCAAACAGCACTTTTGATATTCTGAAGTGGGGTTACAAGGCCACCAACTATGTGAATTTTCAGCAGGTTCATAAAGAACCGGCAGAAATTTGTACGCTGTACAGCTGGCTTTATTAGTTATGGCTAGGGGGCAAATGCCACCCTGACCCTTGCCCTGATTGAGGCAAAGGCTCACATATATGCCAGAGCTTAGTTTCTGTGTCTTGTGTTGCATCATGTTGACTTAAATGTTGCCGGAAACATCTGGCCCAGAAAAACATCCTACAGGCCCACTGGCTTTTATTGTATCCCTGATGGGACCACCCAGTGCACAGTTTGAAATCATGCAGGCGCTGTATTAGTGACAATGCCTGTATAAAAATGCCTTAGGGCAAATATTACATGATAGCATTTCAAGCAAGCCCTTCATCAGGAAATGCTGTACACTGTCACATATGCATATTAGTAAAAGGTTTTCTCATGTGACAGGGTAGCAGACATGAGATCAATATAAAGCACATATGTCAATTACAAGACCCACGGGCCGGAAACAGCCTGCCACAAGATTTTATTAGGCCCTCCAGTCCTAAGCACTGTACAGAGGCAAGCAGGGTTAATTTTTTTTAAATCTGTACTCAGGAAGAAAAAACCTGAAGAGGCAATTCAGCCGCCTGCCCTCTGGACCCCGCACCTCCCTCCTTGTTTTTCCTCGGCCACAGGTTTCTCCTCGCCCGCGCGTTCTTCCTTGCCTCTGGTCTGGTATCTGGGACTGACTGTGTGTGAGGGCACTACAAGTGTAAACAGTCCCTGTCCTTTTGGTGGACAGGGACAGCTGACACTTGTAGTGCCCTCACACACAGGACCCAGGACAGTCATATCATCATTATATGACAGTCCTAGTGTCCTGTGTGTGAGGGAACATCAAGTGTCAGCATTCCTTGTCTATTAT